TGAGATGCAGATGAATAGAATATTTTTTCAAATTTTTGGCCCTAATTAATTGTGAATTTGCACTGTAATAAAAAAAAATTACCTATTGAAGGTATTTAGGAGTAACATAGTTTTGTTTCACTGTTGCTGAATACAGGGCACCTGTTAAATGTGTACACAGCACTGCTGATTTGCATAAAGTCATTTAATGACTGTAAGGATTTGCATTGTACTGTTTGTGTGTTTTACAACATAGGGGGAGGATTATTTTCTTAAATATGCAAAGCATTGCACTGTATTTATTGTTGTTCAGAAAGCAGATGCCCTAGAGCATTGCTACTGTATTAATCTCACCAGATTAGCCTCTAACTATTTCAGACTCTTAGGTAACAGTTCTTATTAGTATTTGCCAAGTTCTCTTTACTGTACCTGATGAGCTTTATTATAGAGGGCCCCAGGTTTCCATGGTCTCAGCAGAACAGTGTTGTGTGAGAGGAAATGTGAATGTAAGGAGCAGTAATGACAGCCCAGACTCCATTTTCGTGCTGAGTTCCCTGCCTGGGAGCTATAGCTGTGACTCTTATGCACCACTGATTTAAGAGGTTTGGTGGCTCAGCAGAGGTTATTTATACCATTTACACCAGACATTCAAAAGAGGATGTGGGGACACGATGGAGCACTGAGGTGCTGAGAATGAGGCTGCAGGGAAGCTGTTTTGTTTGATGGGAGCAGATCAGTGCCAACAGTAGCACTCCTAAGCAGTGGGTCAGAAACTTTTGCATGCTCAGTTCTGCTTCCTCATGCAGGGTTATTGTGTTTACCTTGGGATCCCAGTGTATTTCCCTTGGGATCCAGATTAAAAGCTGTAGGATGAATGCTGACTTTGGTCTCAGCTCTTGGTACTGCTGTAAAGGCTCCTGCACTGGTGTCCAGCAGAGTTTCAGATAAAATTCACCTGGTAACTTTGTTTTCCATCCCTCATCACTTTGCTTTATGCAGTAGGACAGGAAAGGTGGCAAAGGATGATTTTGCAGGAAGATGTGAGTTCTGACAGTGCTAAGCCACAGCACATCTGCCACTTCTCAGCCAACAATTCTGCTGAGCACAAGGCTTGCTTTGTGCAGAGAGACAGGACAGCAGAAAATGCTTTTAGACAGGTGTTTGAAATAGTAAGTTGAGTGGTTCAAATATGAGTAAAAACATCACTGTTTTATGGCTTTTCAGTGACTGAGGGTTTTTTCATTTTTTATTTTGCCTTTTTATTTTCAAATGCAACAATTTATCCCATATCTACTGGCATACAAGTACGAGTTCATAGAACACCAAAAGTTGACTTAAGCCATTCCATGAAGTTCCTTCCATTAAGTAATGAAGTTCATTTTTCAAAGGGTATGGGAGTTTTGGTTTGGGGTGTTTGTTTGTTTCACTAAGTCGTGTATGTAAGGTGTGCATAAATACTGAAATACACTTTTGGAAGTGAACATGGAGGGAAAGCATCCTTTTCCCCTTTTCATCATTGCAGGAAAGCAGAAACAAAGTAATTTGCATATTTCAGCAGATATGATGTAAGCTTTTGTGACTTTCAAACTAATTTTAAACCTCTACTAGTGATGAATGTGCCCCGTAACTTCCTAGTGGTGCACTAGTTTGAGACATCACATTTCAGAGAGTTACAGGATCGGTGTCTCTGGGGGTCCACAGATCTCAATCTCTACTGCCAAAGGGAAAATCAATGTCTTTTCCATTGACTGCGTTAATCCCTTCCCATGCTCTGTTCATAGACACAATGAATGGGGTTGCACAGAGAGTTTTCCCCAAGGAGCATCTCTCTGGCAGTTTGACACCTCGGTGCACATCCGTGCAGCTGCTGTGCTGACCATGCAACATAACTTTGGTGTGAAGTTTAGTCTCCTCCAGTAGTTTGTGTCATGAACTAATTCAGATACCAAATTTAGCAAAATTATCACAAGCAGTTTCACACAAATATTTTAGGCAATAGGTTTAGATGTGGTTAAATATCTCTGACTGTCAACTGTTTGACTTGACTACTTGCCTGGAAAAGTTTGATTTTCAGTGGAAGTATGTGGAATACTATTGTTTTGATTTTTTTTTTTCCTTTTAAGGCAGAAATTCAAAAAGGAAATCATAAAGTTGTTTGGCCATTATATCAAGCTGTTTTCTGTGGGATAGGCACAAAATAGTGCAGTTCAGCAGAAAAAGTCACATAAAGGAGATCATTTTACTTTTTGGTCAGATTGGAGCTGGCCCACACTAATGGCTAAATGGAAGCTAATCAAGCTAATAGGAGCTCTCCCTAAAATTATTGTTAGGGTATTTCCAGTGTGATGGTTGGGGAAGTATTTCAGGTGCAAATCAGTGCTGAAGCCAAAGTGGGAGTATTCCTGTCTTTAGTGAGCTTGCAGTATTTCTCCAAAAAGAAGGGCTGTAAGCTGCCTGGGTTCCTGTCAGGCGTTCCCATTTGTTAGGACCAAGGACTTTGTCTGAGGTTGTTATGCACCTTCTCTGGAACCCAGTAGAGGAGAGTGACCACAGGGCTACAGCAGGCAGGAGGAAAAGAAGCTACCTCCATTTCCTTGCTGCCTTCTCACGTGTTTGTTAATAACAGCACTGATAAAATATCTGTAGTTAATAATGATTTAGTCTAACTGAAATGTTTTCAGAAAAGATAAATGCAACTACTGTTGAATGTTACTACTGATGAATGCTTTGTGACTCTGGAGAAATAGGAATGGCAGTGTGAGCTTCTGGTGAAAGTTATTATATTGGATGAATAATCTCTGTAATTGCTGCCTTTTGGTTTGTCATGCCTGAATCCTGCCTGATAGGGGTGTGTGAAGAACTGTATCTGTCTGCAGTGACTGCACAAATACTTCTTGTAGCGCATCTCCTCTTAGACTTAGTGAGTATCTTCTCAAATTGTCATCCCAGCATCCCTTGTCCTTCCTATGGCATGCTGAATGCAGGCAGAAGGTCTGGGCCACGCTGGATTAGCCTTGGTGCCATCGTGCACCCTTTGCTCTGCACCAGGGATTGCTCTCCTCTGCTCTCGCTTATTCGGCATTTGCATTTCACAGACATAACCATGTGCCTGGATTGACCAAAGATGCCAACATAAGCACTTGCCAAAAGGCAGCTCTCATCTTCCCCAGCTGCCTCAGCCTGTCTTCCTTTTCAGAAACAATCAGAGGCTTATGATCTTGATTCAGAGAAGGATTTGTTCCATCTCACATCTGCGATTCAGGCATTTTGGAGGAAAAGAAAGGAAAAGAAGGAATGTGATCCTTGAAGAAGATACCCTTGATGAGGTGTCAGAGTTGAGTTTGGCTAGCAAGGATTTAGGCTCCCCAGGCTGAGCAAAACATCATCCATCATCTCAAGCAACAGCCTCTTTCTAGTCCAAAGGGACAGATCTGTGGTTCTGCAGGCACTTGGAACCAAATCCTGTTCTAGAGAAGGAAAGGACAAAACGGGAGCACTTCCTGCTTCAGGCTGACACCAAAGCTCAAGAAGCCCCTTTCCAGGGTGCCATCCTGGCTTTCTTGGTAACAGGGATATGACAGAGGAGAACATTGCTCTGAATTGAAAAAGCCATGCTTGGAGTTCTTATTAATCTATTTAATGAACAGGATTTTTCTATCTAAAAGTATCATCTGCTATGAATAAAGCTTAAAGAGTTGTTAACTTTTTCAAAGATGCATATGCATAGCAGACCAACTGCACTCCAGACTTCACAGATTTTGGGCTGTATAGCATCTGTGACAGACCCAAGGGCTTGTACTAAATCCCATTGCATGAGCAGTATCTTTGATGCTGCTGTACAAGCAACTTGCCCAACAGCCAGATGTTTAGGGGTCTCAGTCCTCAGCCACAAATGTGAAGATGCTCTTCTAAGCTGGTATATGGTGTCTCATCCCACATTTGGTTTGCTTTAAAGATGAAACATTTGGGGGTATTGAAAGCTCAGCTCAATGCAAGCAGACAGAAAGCTGATTTGGAGATGTTTGGGGGGTTTTGGGAAGGGCGGAGAGTAGTGTTGGCTGGCCCCTTGATAAAAACAGGGAGTAATCTGAAATACAGAACAAGCCAAAACCACAAACTCTGATTTAGACCTACTTGGCTCTTCTGAATCATCATGAGCTCTGCACACTGAGTCAGCCAAGAGCTGGTTTTCTCTTCAGTGTTGTGTAAACACAAGATGTTTCTCTGGGCTAAATATTATTAAGTTAAAAAGTCATGTTTATTTGTCCTGTATAAAAAATGATTAATACAGAAAGTTACCATCTGGGGAGATATGAAAATGCTTTTCTTTTAGAGTTTCTTGCTCAGCTCATCTTTGAACACAGATCACTTTTAGGGTATCCTGATTTTTTAAATTTGATTCTATAAGTGATAATTATTTGGATCAAACTACTGACAAGGCTTCCTGTATTACCTTTGGAAATTATAATTTCATTTAAAGTAATTAAGGAAAACCACAGGACTTAATTCATAGTTGTACCACGGTGTGGTGTGAATTCTTAAAATTCGGAGGGAAGGTTGTACAGCTGACTAGCACATTTTCAGGGAAAGCTTTAGATCTGGGCACAGAGAGGAGCATGTAATGAGGATGCTCTACACTGGCCAGGAGATTTCTCTCTTTGCAACTCTTCACAGTAAATGTGAGAAATGTTAACAAGCCCTGGAAGGTTTTTACTCTGCTGAAATCTGTGACTAATTGTGAGGGGATTTGCCTCATCTTTCTTTATTTACAACTTCTAAGATGTAATACTGCTGAGAAAAAGGTTGTATGACATTAGGAAAGTAAGAGTTACGGAAAAGGCAATTCTGAGGGTAGGGGATTTAAAACAAAGCCCCACACCCCACAGCTTGAGAGCATATAGAAATGCAATACCAGCTCTGCAGTAGAATTATAACCCCCTCCTTGTCCCCCAAACCAACAAGAGCCATTAAAGACATGGAAAAGGTGACTGGTGTTTATCTTTTCTTCCCCCTTTCCATAGTGCGGCTCCATGACAGCATATCAGAAGAAGGATTCCATTACTTAGTCTTTGACTTGTAAGTATTTGTTTTGCATTTGTTTACCATGTTGGGGATGGGCTGTTCAAACCTGGAGTTACAAGTGCAAGCTCATGAGATAAATGCCTGCTTCTGGTGCAATGAGCTGGACAAATAGGTGGAAACAGCTGGAAGGACAGGAACATATTTTGTCATTTGCATGTGCAGGAGCTCAGTTGTAAGTGTCATTGTAAGGATTCCGTTTACTCCATAAAAACTAGTAAAACTCCACTGGTGAAATGAATTTTAATGTAAAGTGTAGGTATGTAAGTAAAGGTTGCATGATGCCTGCCAAAATGAAGCAAAGACTCAGAAAAAAGTATTTGCTGCAAGACAGTTGTCTAAAGGAAAGATAAAAAAGGCATGTGGAACACTTATTTCTCTACACAAAATCTCTACTGCTGGATTAAAAAGATAAGCCTGAGTTCAGAGAGCAAAAGATTCTTCTAGTAGTTCATTCCTGAATATCTTACTGATTTATGTTTCATTTTGACACCACTCAGGATGTAAAGTGCCCAACACATAGAAAGGAAGCTTCCTACTGATAGTATATTTTACTTCAGGAATTTAGGTCCCATGAGTTGTTCATGTAGCAACTGGGCCTGTATGGAGCTTTTTTTTTTCCAGATAAGGCTGTTTAGGGGAAGCAGGGATGGTGGCAGCATGAATATTGTGTCTCAAGCTCATAACTCAAAGAGAGAAACTAATTTCCTCATTCCTCCCTGGGATGGGCAAACTTTTCCACTCACTTGAAAAGTTACTGCTTATGGTTTTGGATATGGACAAACCTGAATGATAGGGATTGTATTGCAAAACATACTTACTTAAGTAAAATTGTCTCTTTAAACTCCAAATTTTTCCAGGGCAGTTTATGGTTTAACAGACAACACATCCACCCACCTACCCAAAGAGCTTTCTTAGCACCCTCCCATGGTTTTGCTGGTTAGAATGAGAATACATTATTTCCCCAGAAATGAGAAATAGCTCATTTCTAAGCATACAAGCAGAAGTATTTACATTCAGCATGGCTGTTAGAATCTGAATCTTCCATGTTCAAGTTACATTCTGTTTTACTTTCTGACTTAACTTTTTAAAAATAAATCTGTAAAGACTTATTCAGCACTAGATTTCAGACTAGAAATACACAAATATTAAAATAGTCACTCTGCAGTGGAGGCATTCAGGACTCAAATCCTAACTGGTCTCCACAGAAGCTTGTATGTGATTTGTGTCTATCCCAGGTAAGTGCTGTGACTGTTGGCTTGGAAATGGCTCCAGGGCACAACACACATATTTGTTCTCTGACATGCACTGGGATTTGTTTTGGTTTTGGGTTTGTTTTTTTTTTTTTTTCCCCTTAAGGGCTACAAAGGAAATCTTTCTATGTGGAAGTGGAAAAAGCTTCTTAATTCAGAACATTTCTAAGAAGTGCATGCAAAATTCTTAGTTCTAGGGACAATATACCTTTTAAAAAATAGTGGCTATTTTTTTGTTGTTGTTGTTGTACTGCTGTACTGTGAGAAACTCTGCCATACTGTAATTGTAGTTAGTCCACGTCTGCCTTAAATTTAATATATGCCAGACTTATCTCAGGGGGGTATGATTGTGATGTGAACTAGAACATTTGAACAATTTCAGAATTGTAGATAACAGTATCTAGATCTCAATAGTAAGGGAGCAAATAGAAGCCTATGTTCTGCAATAAAATGTTAATGCCTAACTCAAAGATACTGCCTTGGCAGAAGACTAGATTCCACAGGAAATGTTCTGCCTTGGCTGGAACTTCCTCTGTTCCCTGTCAGTCCCATTCAGGACAAACAGAGGAACAGCCTCAAACATATATATATATATATATATATATATATATATATATAAACATATATATATATATATATATATATAAAGCTTTTATGTTTTGGCTATGTGGTTTGAGGGTTTTGTAAAAATGTCTTATTTTGCAAAAAAGAAAATGTCTAAATGGCAGAGGCAGTGACTTTGCTGACTGATCATTGTTTCTGGAGAAGCAGCAGGTTGCATTTTTGAGAAATTTTTGCCAAATTACTGAGAGTGCCTGTTAACAGTTGATTTCTCACATTCATTGCTTTAATGCTTACTAGTATTATTTATTAGTGAAACTTCACCTTTTACAAACATGGTTACTGCTGTGTTGACAAGTACATAAGAGCTGCCATGGTGAAAAGGTACTGTATGCACTTCTTGAACACACAGGACAAGAACCTGCTTTTCTTTATTTAGTTTTGATTCAGCAGGAGCCTGACTGTGGTGTAACACTGTCACTCCACCCACACATGCCATCCTGTCATTTTCTTAATGATTTCTTCCAGACTCTGTGGGATTTGGTACGGCTGTTTCCTCAGAAATTTCTTTCAGACTTCATCCCACGTAAGAAAGTGAAGGGGAAGACTGCCCTTTCTGTGGATAGGAAAAAACAATCATTGTTACTTGCAATTTTTAATTTCTAATAATCTCTTTGGATTAAATGCCACAGAGATGTCTGCTGCCTGTTGCTTCACTTGTATACCTGAGGCTGTCCTTTCTTCTGCCTAAAGAAACAGTGTTCAATGTACTCGCTTACAAACATGCTTTTGGGTGAACAGTTCTGCTGTCAAATGGGAAGGTGGGAGTCTCTATGGAAAATGGGTATTGAACAATGAACTTCATGAATTTAATAATGGACTTCATGAAGTTTTTGCTCCTCTTCCCTATTGGTTAAGGCAGCTGCTGTCAGGATTTGCGTCTGTTGGACCATTTCAGTTGCTAAGCACGAATGAGACTGTCTTCAGTGTTAATGATGTTAGATGAGTTCAAATCCAATCAATTCTGTCAGTATTAATTGCTGTATCTGAATGGAAACAGCTGTAGCACTTGAAGACTCTCTTGTGCAAGTCAATGAGATTCTCTATTTTCAGTGTCTCCAGTTCTAATGCACTTGATGAGATGCAACAATTGGTATGTTAAGAATCCTGGCTTTGCTTTTGGATTCTAAGTGCAGGGACCATACTATGTCAAATAAACAGAAAACCAAAAATATAGCCTAATTTGCAAAGCAGTGTTTGTCTCAGGTAAATGCCTGGGCCTCTGTTTCAGAAGTAGAAAGGCCACAGATTAATTTAATAATTCTATGGCCACCGTGAGATGCTTCCTCCCAGCTCCATTATGAAGGCAGTTGAAGAAGTAAATGTAAACTAGGAGGAAACCACACCAGTGTGATCATCATCAGAGGATGGTTTAGCTGTCTGTGCTAATTTGTGTGTTCCTTTTAATTATTCTCTTATTATTTGCAAACAGAAATCAGCAGTTTTGCTCAAAGTGGTGTGGTGTGCCTTGGTGTTGCTTCATGCTGCTTGTACCTCTTCTGTGTAAACAAATTTATGTGCTTTATTCGTTGCCACTTTAGTATTCTCTTCTCAAAAATCACAAAAGGACCATAGCAATTTGTACAAAGCAGTAGCTTTTAGGTTGTATCCTGCAAGTTACTAGAGCTTATATAATGAATGGCCTGTCATGAAACGCAACTTCCCAGGATCCAGATACATATCTGTGTCAGAAAGACATCGAGATTCGTTCCCATTTGCATCCTGCAGCAGGAAAATACCTTGGTACCTGCTCATGTGGCCTTATGATCAAGGACCATTGGGAGTCATTTGGGAGTGGCTTCCTGGAACCTGCAGGCTGTCCTGTGCTGTGATGCCTGTGACCTTTCCTGCTGCAGGGGCACCTTGCTCAGGGACACTCAGTGAGCCAAGGCCACGAGTCCAGCTCTGGTTTGCCCAGAGGCTCAGAACATGCAGCTGGGTTCTGTCCTCTCCTCATGCCCTGCACTGTACTGCCTTCATTCATTGTGGCCATTTAGCTCTTTTGGGAGAGCTGTTCCTAAGGTATCCTTCAGAGTGACAGAGCATGGGAATTGCTGACTGCTTGTTTGGTTGTCACTGAAATTCACCTGCTCTGTTGCTGCTTTAATCTTTTCATCATTTAACAAAGGTTGTGAATACCAAGCAAATGTTTAGTGTCAGTAAGTAAGATTTCGTATCCCCTTCCGCCCTCCATGCTGGAGAAGAACAAGCATCAATTTGGTATTTTCTTCCACTGAAAGGCACTTTGATGACTAAAGCTTCTTGTTTTCTTTCTTTAGCTTGGATCAAAAATAAGTGCTTTAGCAAAGAGTAAGATCAAAGGATATTGTGTTTTTTCATTCATCACAAAGTGACAATTATTCCTCTTTACCAGAACTGTGGCAGACAAATAAATATGCAAAAAGGACTGTCAAAATATGCATCAATCAAACATTTTGTGCTACAGCAACCAAAGCCAGTCTCTGGAAGGTAGAAGACAAAAAGACAAAACAAATTAGGCAACAAGCTACTTTACCTCCTCTAGATTTTGCTCCAGACTTTTGTACAAAATAGCTTTCTGTTACCTGAAAGTCTCTATGTTGAGAATCAGTAAGGCTTAAACTCAGAAAAAGGATGGTGTAACCCAAATATAAATGAAATAATGAAAATCAGATTCTTGAACTGGCCTTCTGCAAGAAAGGTGCTGGACTGCTGGTTGAGCAGAGCATTCCTGTCATCATTTAATGTGGCTGAAAACTGGGTTCTTCAGCAAAGTGTTAGTACAGCAGTTTGCAAATGAGTGTTAAAATTCTAAGCAGAGTATTCTCACCTTGAATTTTTTAATCCTAATAAAGTTAATTGTATTCAATATTCATTTTGTTCACTGTAGTATAGATTTTTAAGCATCTCAATCTTTTAAGTATCTTGTTGCACACTCAAGCTTTTATGTTTGGGAGTTTATTGGAAATGTAATGTGCTAATACTCACATTCGTAAGCAGTAATGAAATACAAACACTGATCTTTCATCCAGGAATTATTTACGTAAGCACCTGTATATGTGAAGAATTGCATTTAGATGTGCCAGTCTGTCAGCCTATACCATAAGAGAGAAATGTTACAGGAAAGGTCTTCTATGCTGTAATTCCCCTCTTGTGACACAGGCAGACGAGTGTTACGAAATTACTGAAAAGCTCATTAATCTTCATCTTACAAGGATTGCTAGAAAACTTCTCCTGATTTTGGCCCTATATTTACTCATAGGTATTGTATGCTCACGTATTAGTGTACCAATAATATCCCTTACAACTCCCCTCTAGGGAGATCCAGGCTAATGCTCATCCTCAGTATTTATTTTGATCCCTCTTAACCTTTATTTTGCCCAGCTAAACTGGGTTTGCTTCTCTGAGGAGATCTGATAAGCGAGTGACTGGGTAGCATGGTAGTAATTTTTCTGTTCATACTGCACTTCCAGTTCCCTTTTCTGGGTTTGAGTGACCAGAACTGGTACAATATGAGGAGGGATTTTACATTGCTGTCACCCTATTCCAGATGCAATCCAAGATTGTGGCATCATCCTGCTCTGAGCTCATTCTGGACTGTGATTGTTGGGATACAAAAAACAGTTTTATTGCTTTTTAGCCCCTTTCTAACCATTAAACCACTGGTTGTACCATGAGTTCCTGAGTATGAAATGTTACACAGCCACTTCTGTTACTGGCTCCGTGATCAGACAGTTCTTCCCCTTGTACTTAACTTATTTTCAGTGATGCTTTATCTAAGCTATTCCTACTTTCTCCACAAAGATAAATGAAAATTTTCTAGGAAAGATCTGCTGTTAAATGGATTAATGTACCCTGATTCTACAGATAGTTCCCTCTTTCTAGCCACAGCACAAAAAGGCAGCCCCTCTGGTACCTGGGTACACACACCTCTTTTGTGATTTGCTCTACACTGCAATACTCTTTTCCTTTTTTAGCATTGTCATATTTCAACATTTCTTACCTTTGCATTATATTGCAATTTTCAAATGATCCTGAGCTGTACTGAACTTCAGACACAATTTTCCTGGCTGGTCAGTTCCCTTTATCTTTGTAGTTTTACTGCTTCCTTTTGACATCCATAACTGATGTCTGGCATCTTGCCCAATACGCTGCTGCCCTTGGCTTTTGTTTTCTATTTATGATTGCACTTTCACCACATCCATTTTATTAATGTAATGATTTGGATGGACAAACCTTCCACTTTAGTTCCTGCACCTTGCTGCAAAATCTCTTGCATTTCTGTACAAATACTTCACTTTTTCCTCTCTGACTTCTCCCTGTCAAGTTAATTTAAGGTGCACATTTTCACTTCTGAAATCTCCTTTTCCCCATCTTGCTTCTTGTAACAGAGTCACTGGAGGTGAATTGTTTGAAGATATAGTTGCAAGAGAGTATTATAGTGAAGCAGATGCCAGGTAAGTAATTTTTTTTTCTAATAACACCTTTGATAATTAGAGGATAGTTACTTAAATATATCCTGGTGTTTGGCATCAGTTTCCCAGCACAGTCTTTGAGACTCTAGGATTTCTCCAGGAGTTCTCTTAGACCTGGAAGGGCAGAGTTTGGCAGTTTGAGCTCACGACTGTGTGGTGGAGAATTCATGGGACGTCTTGGTGTCTGCTGATCTGAAAAAGCAGAAATTGAATCTCAATTAATTAAAATTTTACTCATTGGTTTCTCTGCGAACTGGACATAACAGTTCAAGTATCTCATCCATGGATTCTTAGATTTGCTGATCAAAGTTTGAAGCATAAGTTGGTCTTAAAAGAATTTTGCTATAAATTTTTGTTCTTGGGCCTGAAGTGCTAATTTCCTTTTACAATTAGAAAATTTTAATTGTGTTTCATCAATAAGCAATTATACTGTGCGTCTCGTAGTCTGAGCTCAAATATGAAATCTCTGGCAATTTTCTGCAAGTGCTTGTTGAAAAACTTGAATAATAAGTTGACAATTATCATCATTTGCATGTATAAAGTATTAGGGCCACTCATGTCATGTTTGTCTTCATATAATAATAAATCTTAAATTTTGTCATAAATTTAATCCTCAACATTGTGGTCAATTACTCTATAGAAAATATGTTCTACCACCACACTCTTCACATAATTGATCTCAAACTAGATTTAAAGAATCCTGATGTTTCTGTGTGTTTACAAACACACCCCCCTAATAATACATATTTAGTACATGCAATTTTAAATTATGCCTTTACATTTGGAGATCTTTGGGAGGTGACAGAAAGAATTAAATATTCCTAACAACAGTAGCATAATAATAACGACCAGATGAGAAGTTACTCTGAATATTAGGAAGCTTCCACTTCCAGATCTTACTGCATCTGTAGAAATGGTAGGAAGATTAATATTTTGGCCTTTAAATAAAGAACAACACACAGCAAAACACCCCGTAGAAGAGAAAACAGCAATAGGATTTAGGTGGGGTGGAAGAAGAGGAGCTATGTTGAAAAAATTTTCAAATCATTTTTTCCTGCTGTGATTGAAACAAATTTCCAATATTGATGCCAAAGGCCAGTATACATTGTCTTTGTGTGTTTTTAAGGTAGCTGGATTTTAAAAGGGAAAATTGCAATGATGATTCCTTCTGTTCTAGAATTATAATATATTGGAAGGGGCTGTGCCTATACATGTGTATATATATATATTATATATATATACATTTTATTTTTTCAGTAAAAATTTGACCAAATTAGTGAAATATCTAGTTATGATGCATCTCTGTATTTTGTATATTTATATATACAAACATATATGTTTGTATATATAAATAGCTATATCTTGTGTGTGTATGTGTGTATCCCTCTAGCAATAGTTGCTGTTCTCTGTGGATGCCTCTCCCAGGACTGTCACACTGGTCTGCTCCTGCAAGCCCTTGCTCACGCCAGTAGTCTGTACTCAGACAAACAGTGCAGTGAGTTATGAACTACTTGCCTAAGAAAGGGTTTTCAGGCTTGGGCTCCAGTTACTGATTATGACCATTCCTTCTGAATTCCATGGTCAAAAGGTTTTGGATGAGCAGCATCTTGACTACAGTGTATTACTTAGCATCACTCACTTGTGCCACAACAGTGTCTTAAAAAAAAAATGCTAAGCTCTTGTGGTGCCAAAAAAACATCTGAAGAAGTTCCAGTGCTCTAAAATATTAATATTTTAGTTGTACCTTTTGGCATCATAGACTGGCCAAAACTTGCAAATCTGGGTATGGGAAAATAGGTGCTAGTTCAGTTACTGCAAGCACCAAACTAAAACATTTGTCTTAATTTTTAATGTGAATTTTCACTCCCCAAGTGACTCCTAACTAAACTAGAGCTGGACACTATTTTAAATGAAAATGCATGCCACCTTTTTGAATGACTTGGCTTTACTACTAACTGTTTCACAGAAACCATTCAATTCAAAATGAAAAATGTTTTGCTTTTCCTTAGCTTTTGACTTCTTTTGTTTCATTTGTTTTCTGTATATCATCTCATTTCTGACCATTTTCTTGTTTCAGCCCTTGTTGTAATGTTAACTTCACCACCAAAAATTAAGAAAACCAAAACATGCCACTAATTGTTTTACTGCCTCCACTTTATTTTTCCTCTGGCCATTTCTGGAAACTGGAAAAAGCTTCCATACTGCTGAATGAAAATACAGTCTGATGATTTTGTCTCACAGGTGTCATATGTTCCATGTTAAATGTCTTTTTTTGTTTGGTTTTGGTTTTTTGTTTTTTCGATGTATTGGAGCTGGAAATATCTCAGCAATGTTGTTGTTCCAGTTCAAACAGCAATCAAGATTTGTCCAGAGGTGTAAAATTGTTTTTGTTCTTTAACTTTTTCTTTTAAGTTTTATTTTTATTTTGTATTTAATGTGATTATGTGCCTTTAAAATGTTCTCCCTTCCATTCTGCCCTTGTATCTTTGCAGTCATTGTATACAGCAGATTCTAGAAAGTGTTAATCATTGTCATCTAAATGGCATAGTTCACAGAGACCTGAAGGTCAGTATCTGGTGCCCATCAATTGGATATAAGAATTTTGGGGTTTTCTTTCCGCTGGGTAGGGGCAGAGGGTGGGATGTCTGCCATGTTCCCTTGCCTATCCTATTCACCCTCCGAACGACCGGTCCACCCAATAATGCATGACGCTTCTTTCCAGTTTGCGAGTCTACAGGCCTAATATACATCATGGCAAAAGGGGGAGCGGTAGCCCAAAACCCGTCTCTCGCCGGGGCGCTGGATGTTGCCCGCGCTGTGCCAGGCGCCGGGGCTGTCCCTGTGTGGCTGTGCGGGCACAGGAGGTGACCCCTGGCTGTGATGTATGTCAGCTTGTAGGTGTGACCGCCACGGCTGTGCCGGGGCCCCGGGGGCAGTGGCCGCACGCTGCTGCGCTCGGGTGTGACGAGCCCTCAGGTCGGTGCCGCTAATTGCCGGCTAATTTAAGCGGCTAGGAGCTAATTATTGACCTGGAGTACCTGCCTTGGAGTGGCCAGGGGACTACCTCCACTGTCGCTGCGATTTCTAACCGTTTCTACAATTCTTCAATGCCTCTGGGAAGGCTCTGAGTAAGCGAGGAGGAACAAGCACAGAGGACGCCAAATGTTTAATACGACCTTGAATCAGTGGCAAAATGTCTTCCTTTTACAAATTACCATTAAAAAAGACCTCGGTGTTAATTCCCGAGCAAAGCCAAGGCACCGCCCCGCCGCCTGTCTCTGCGGGCAGCCCCGCGGAGCCTGAGGCCGTCGAGCTCCGAGCGGGGCGGCGCGGGGCAGGGCGGGCCGGGCCGGAGCGCAGCCACGCCCGGCCTCGCCCGCGGCCGCCGCCCCGCCGCCGGGAGCCGGCACTAACGGGCGCCCATGGTGTTTGCATGCAGTCATTGCATTCAGCAGATCCTGGAGGCCGTGCTGCACTGCCATCAGATGGGCGTGGTCCATCGCGACCTCAAGGTGAGTGCTGCTGCCCCGCCGCCCTCCCGGAGCAGCATCCCTGCCCCACAGGGCCGCCAGCAGCCAAAATGTAAATGCTCCCCTCTTGTTGTTTTTCCCCTTGGTTCATTTGGTTTTAATTGAGTTCACCTACATGCAAGAAAAAGCTCGTGCACACCAGAGGGAATCTGCTCGAGGCTGGCCAGTACCTGGCTGTCTAGCGCCGGGCGGTACAGGGGAAACAGAAGTTGCTTTTCAAGCACCGTGTGTATTTGTTGAATACATGGTCTTTCTCAGTTAGCCAGAGCTTTGGGAGCTTTTTCTCTCATCAGCAGAATTCTTAGTACTTCTGGGAAGCACAGTGGCTTTTGCATGCCATGCATCTTACAGTGACAGAAGGCCAACTGCTCTGGGATCACTGGCACACAGACTTCTTTCCTGCAAATGATGGCTGGGCTACCAAACATCTTTAAAAACCAGGAATTTCTACAGTGCTCTCACCACACCCACCTGAGGAGTCCAGTTCCTTCCAGATGAGCTTTAACAGTGGGATAGAAACTTTTCTAAAGAAAACCCTGTGCTGAAAGAGCATTCCCTCTTTCTTGACTGTGTACATCTCCAAATCTAGAAGCATCTGCTGCAGGAATGCTCTCTGCCTTCAAAATATGTTGGCAAGGAAAGAAGCAAGTATAGATAATTTTCTTTTACTGTGAGGCTCCAAGAGAGAAGGCTGTCCCAGAACTCATAGTAAGCTTGCCTTTTGGGCACTTGAGCTTCACAATCCACAAGGAAAAGAAGATGATTTGTTTTGAAATCAGATGGAAGTCTGAGCTATCAGATCCTTTGTGAGGCAGAGAAAAAACGGTGTGTGTGCTAAGGCAGCAAAACACGCTAATCCCTTGTGGCACAGATTCTTGGGCTTTAGGGTTTTTTTCTGAATGAGTTCTGAGGAGCAAAAATTTCCTCCTAGGATAAGTGTTTCTAGTGGTTATCATGAATAATAATGTTGGAATCAGAATGCTGTCGACTTTCTTGGCAACTTTCACTCCCAAACATGCTAGTTTGTCTGACTTTACAAGGTTATGTTGTTGTCATAAAGGAACACAAAGAGGTTTGCTCCAAAAGCTCAGAGAGCAGGATGAGTTTCAAAGATGGAGACACCAAATTTTTTACTCGTTTTGCACTTCTGGATTTTCCTTTGTCACATTGTACAACAGGAGACTGACAAATCCCTGTGCAATCTGTAAATCTTGCATGGCAGCTAGGTAATGTGGAATGAGTTTTAAGGGAATGATGTCAAATTTGTCCAGCTGCTCCAGTGGTTCCTGTCCACGCTGTACATGCAGTCCTGTGCTTCTAGCATCAAAAAGAATTTAAAAAGCCAGGATTGTAGCTATGCAAGCTGATGGAATAAGGGATGCTTTCTATTACTCTTCATATGTTCACGCAAAACAACTTTTTCTTTGGCAACACATTAAATCCAGCTGTTGCCTGCTCCAGACGATGTGTGGATTTCTTATTCTGGCAAATCCAGGATGAATTGAAAAAACAGTGTGAGAAAAAGAGTCTCTGCCAAGCTGTGGTGCCCAGTTTCATTTGGGAAAGTGAAAACTTCAGGAAGCAGAAAGCCGTCCTTCTTCAGTTACAGCTTTGTGGCAAAAGCCAAAAAACCGTAAGAATTAAGTGAAGGATTGTGGTGAAATCCGAGCAGTACACCATGTGCTGAAAAGAAGATGCCAGGAGCAGAACAGCAAGCTGTGGAAGGTGGTTATGGGCTGGCATGGATCCTTAAATTGCAAAACTTGATGATGGATTTTTTTCCAATAACTCAGTCCACAACATGATGGCATGCTTGGGGGTGGGGAGATTTTGGATGATCCCGTTTTATTTAACTTTCCTTCTAGGGTGATCTAGTAGCAAACAGACAGGAGCTTTTGCAGCCTCTTATGACCTGCAGAAGTGCTTGTTGCTGCTGTGTTTGTAAATACTGGCTTAAGTCAGAAAAGTGATGGATCGTAAACCCAGGAAAAAATTAACTTATCAGTGGCAACCTGGCTTTACCAGCTAGTAAAAGTGCACTTCCAGATAGGAATTCCAGTTCTTGTCAGGCTGTAGCCTTCCTACTTCTGTGAAGCTTCTGTGATTTTGTGGTTAAGACCCTCTTACCTTCTACCAAAGAATGGCTGTTTTAGGTACATCCAAGGAAAAATACACAGAGCCTTAAATATTTGATATCTTAAGGATTAAAGACCTTTGGAAAAGCATGGCATAAATCACGTTAATTTATTTGTAAGTAATTTTAGCAGTTAACAGTGCCATTGTGCATGCTTGGCTGCTGCCCATCACTGGGGAGCGCAAGGTGACACCACCGAATCCAGGGAACAAGTCCTGCACGGTGCTGTTAATGTTTCCCAAGTAATTGCACTCATTCCCAGCTAATGCATGATAATTACCCACGTGCCTCTGGCCAGCCTCAAACGGCTGCTGCATGTTGGTTAAGCACACAGTCCCACTTGGCATGGCCCAAAAGACTGTTGTCTTTGGCATGGGAGCATGTCAGGAATTCTGGTGGAACACACTCATCTGTTAAAGTGGTACTTCTGAAGAGAAGAGACATGCAATGGAATAAAAAAAACAATCCCAAGAGGAAAACAAACCGAAAAAGCCAAACCAGCATCAGAAAACAAAACCAGTGTTTTGAACAAAACAATTTTTTTGGGAAAGCGTTATGTGCTTGGTGTGGTAGTGCTTTTATTTCATCCAGAAGGATGAGGCTTTTCACTGCTTTTGGCTTGCCTGAAGGTCACAACCAAATAGGATCATCTGTTGCTTTAAGAGGTTTGTACAAGAACAGCATTCCAGGAATTAATTACTGTGAACTTGTTTCATTCTGAGAGGAAACCTTGCAGAACTATGTCACTGTGTTTTGAAATTAGTGTTATTAAATGGCAAGGAGTGTGACATTGCTTAAATCAGTGTTGATGAAACTAGAGAAGAGTCCTCAGCTGTGCACTTAGTGTTTCATATATGTAATTTAAATTAATATTAAGATTGTATTTTGTTTTGAGGGCCCTTCATCTTAATTTTTGAAACTGTGAAAATAGAAGATTCATCAAGTAGCTATTGATGAAAGTTTTTTAATATTATGTAATCTGTGACATAGCGACAAAGGGATGAGTGAGAGAACAGCGCTGGTAAATTGCTGAAAAGATGTTCCTTTGTTGAGAGAGGAAGAAAATCCCTTCAGACTAAAGAATTTGTCAGGGCCCGTTGTATTGTTAATTAATAGAAGTATCACCGTGGCTGAGGTCTTACTTAGGCTCAAGCATATTTTGCTGGATACCTGACATGTATTAAAGATAGGCTTTGCTGAAAGAGGCTTATGATCTTAATTGTTTCCAACCTCAGTACGTGCATGGGATTAACTGCAATCACATAAATAGTTCCTTGGAAGTGATACGATTGCTGCTGGGTTGAACCTGGAATATGCCTTGAAGAGTTTGCAGGATTGAGGCCCTAGCACCAGCCTGACTATAACGAAGTCCCTTACCACAGAAATTGCTTCTGAGGAGTCACAGCAATACCCATGAAAGTGAAGTTTTGTTATTCTGTAAATGTAGAACAAAACCTTTTTTAAAAACCATGGGGATTGGAAAGACAGGTGTGGCAAGAAAATGCTTTGAGGATCACAGTTCTCTGAAATAATCTGTTGCTTTCTACAGTACTTATTTTAGTTGTATTTTTAAAGCAAACATTCATACAATAAAGTTGTCTTTGGGCAATTTACATTTGATGTATTTGCTAACTGCAGTTAAAAGGATTCATTATGAGCAGTAGAATGAACATAATTATGTTCAAATCCTTTACCTTTAATTGTGTGAGTGTACTATAGCCTTTCATTTCAGATGTGACCAACATAACCCTACAAAACAAAAGCAAGGTGGGAACGTTCACTATTATTTTATTTGTAAAGGTTCTCTGCAGGCACAAGTGTGGGTGTGCTGAGAGATTTGCAATGTAAATACACCTGCTCTCTAAATACAATCACAAGGCTGTTACTGTTGGGATGTCATACAAAACATTTCTGTTTGGCAGTTGCAGATGCCTGATCCTGCAAACTCCATGGGCTAGACTAGTCATCAGTGAGTCCCTGTCCTTTGGGAGTCTGCTGCCCCATTTTTCCAGTAATGAGTTCTTGGGAATCTCTGACCTGCCTTGTCACACCAGCAGGTGTCACAGCTCCACATGCCCATTCTGGCTCTTCTTCGCACTGTCCTTAATCTTGCTGGCATGAGCTCATGAAGGCTGGTTACAGGCCTGGTGATTCTTTACAGATAGGAATGGGAAGTGCAAGTTTTGCAATTTCATGGAAAAAACCACGGGTTTCTTCTAATTTTCACTCCTCTAAGTATTTGTTCTTTTCCAGAGTACTGTCTAAAATGTATTTACTTACCTTTTCATCTCAATTGTTTTCTCTCTCTGAATAAAGCCTGAGAACTTACTTCTAGCTAGCAAATCCAAGGGAGCAGCAGTCAAACTGGCAGACTTTGGATTGGCTATAGAAGTCCAGGGAGAACAACAAGCTTGGTTTGGTAAGTAAATACCATTTTTTCCTCACCATTTATTCAGCGTAGTGGTTAAGCCTCCCCAACTGCCCCACTCTCAACCCAGAGTGAAATGTGCAGCTATGTGACTCTTTGACCCTGGAAAACCTGAGTTTCCTGATTCCTAGCTTGTGCCACCTTCCATCTGTAAATTTGACTGAGATGCACACAACCCCTTTTCTCCCACTCTCCTGAGTAACTAGAGGCAGAAAATACAGCTGCAGAACCTGGGAGGGAGACCGGTGGTTCCCCTCAGGTGCCTGAAGAATGAGACAGTAGGGAAATACTGCTGAGTGTACATGTACTGTGTCATCAGAACATTTTGTCTGTCTCGGTCAGCTGGAAACACCTGAAAAATTGATTCTGAAGCATTTTAGAATGTGACTTCAATGAATGGGAAAATAGGAGGGATTGAGCACCTTAGCCAGACACTAATTACAGATTGCTCATTACGGTTAATAGATGCCCGAAGGAGAATGGTGGAAAATATTTAATACTGGTAATTTTAAACAATAGTGCATGTACAGTTATGATACACGTGTCTCACGTACCACCCTCTTTGAACAGATGTGAAGCATGGGGAAAACTGTATTATAAATCCCAGGTGGAAAAACATACAGAATAAAATATTTATAGCAGCTGCCTATTCTCCTTTAGAGTAGCTAGAAAGTGCAGTTGGAAATGGAACAAAGCGGTTGTAGGCTTGGAACAGAAGCAGAAAGGTGTTTCTGGGCAGTGAGTTGGGAGGTTGAGTGTTCATGGCTATAAGTACATGTAGATGCACAGGCAATGCCACTGGACATATGTTGGCAGCTTTATGAGCCAGCCTGTTGTTTTAAATCCAGTCTTTTTATAAATGGATTTCAGTAATCCACAAAAGACAGGAGAGATTGCTCTTGCACATCAATGAACAGACCAGTACAAAAAGAGTGGAATAGAAACAAGGCAAAACACAAGTGGATTGTTACAATGGAAGTGTCAGGTAAACAGAAAGCATCTCAAGAAAAAATCAGAAGATTCAAGTTGACTTCAGGAATATTTTCTGTACATAGTGCACCTGCAGGTGATGCAGAGGAGGTTGCAATGGCCTAGAAAATCTTGTACTTTGTTTTTTTGTCATTTGGTTCTTGTGAAATGCTTGGTTTAGACTTTAGCATCATGAGGACTTAGGAGAAGGGAGCAGAATGTCTTTAAAATATATATGTAAGGAGGAGTTAACAAGGTAATGAAAAGCAAGTAGCCTAAAGGGGGTCTTTCTTTTAAAAAAAGCTGTGGCACTCAATAAGATAAGTGGGTTCTGTACCTTTTTTGCAACTTGCTCTGCAGAATGTGTCCAGAGTGGTCCAAGTGCCTGCCTTCAGCTTCAGGACTGCATTAGCAGGGCAGAACATGAACTCCAGTGGACTGAGCATTTTGAACTTTTTCTCTCTTTTCTTTCATAAGATTTTTCTGCTTTCTACTGGATTCTGCAGCACTTAGTGACTCATGGCGTGCTCCGATTCTAATTATAGCACTGCATCAGTATGCTTTCCTTTCTTTATTCTTTTTTTCTTTTTTTTTTTTCCCCTTTATTCTGGTGTAGTCCTCTGGTGTGGTGGTCTGTTTTCTGCTTGAACCACGGCTGTGCCTCAGCAGGAAACTGACTTGAACTCTGTGTTTGAATACAACGGAATACTTTCCTGTTTTGCATGTTTGCAAAACAAACTTATTCCTCACCTATTTGTAGAAAGCCTTACAGGGTTTAGTAGAAACCTGCCACCCTCTTAGCAGATGCTTAATGTACTGGGAAGGTGTCAGGCAGGTTGAGTCAACAAAGCATGGATTTTATCTTGGTCCTCTGGATGCCTGGAGAAATCATAGAAGTTTAGGAGTATAAAGTGTTGCAGTCTCTTCTAGGCACTGCACAGTCACAGTTTTCAGCTTTGCAAATTGCTTTACCTAACGGAGTTACTACAAGCAGCAACACTTTTCTGAAAAGTACACGCTTGTTTTGGGGGTCCCTCTGAGCAGTTACAAAATAACCTGATAAATGGCAGTTAACTACTTCCTTGTGTTCTTTTTTTTCTAACTGAAATCAGGGCTGTGTACCCTTCTGTGTGTGCTGCTTTAAACCACTCAAAATACTGGGGAGAGACTTATTTTATTAAAGCATGTAGTGACAGGGTAAGTAGGAATTACTTCAAACTGAAAGAGAGTAGATTTAGCTCAGATAATAGGATAAAATTGTTCCCTGTGAGGCTGGTGAGGCCCTGGCATCAGTTGCCCAGAAAAGCTGTTGCTCTCCCATCCTTGGAAGTGTCCAACACCAGGGACAGCGTTCGGAGCAACCTGATCTAGTGGAAGGTGTCCCTGCCCATGGCAGGGGTTTGGAACAAGATGATTTTCAAGGACCTTTCAATCCAAACAGTTCTGTGGTCCTGTGTACTAAAACTGTACGAATTATTTCAGTTTATATCTGGTTTTTTTCTTCATTGAGAGCTAAGGTTAGCTAAGTACTATACTTATTTTTGCTTTAGAGTTTATTTTCAAATCTTGCATAGTAATGTTCATTGAGCTGTGCTAAGTTTTAAACTCAAGACAACTTTGCTTCCCCTTTAAAACGAGCACTACACCCAAGAAGAGATATGAAACAGCAGTCTATTTAAAGCCACTTAGAACATCTATTTTTCAGCTCCTCTAAGGAGTTGAAGATGTGTTTCCTGTGTGATAGTGCTCCTTAACAATTCATAGCTTCCATATCAGGAACCTGCAAAAAACAAGCTTATTTTTCATGACCATATCTTAGCTCTTTTCTCATTAGAATATACAGAATGTGTTCATTTCCTCCTCCCACTCCAAAGTAATTGGCGACTGTGGGGCAAAGGCTTCTTTTTTCTGTAGCTGTGCACTTTATATGTTACCACCATCTCTCATGAGTTTTGTGGAATCCAGGGTGGTATTGCACAAATGGCTTGTGGTCCTTCATGAAAGCCACCAAATTCTCACCTCTCAGGAATTCCCAGGCATTTATTTTAGGCCAAGATGCCTGAAAGAACAGACATCCACACTGAAATGGGGCAGACTGTTAGTGATCATTAAGCTTTTATCCATTACAGTGTCCTAAGAAAAGTAATATTTATACCTACATTTTACATTTCTGCTCAGAGAAGCAGCACTGTTGGTAATGAATAAAGGATGAAGAACATATAAATTTTAAAGGCCAGATTGCTTCAGAGATGCCTCCTGTAAACTTTGGTAAAGAGGTTTCCAGAAGTGGAATGACTTGGCAGAAATGAGTTCTGCAGTGGAAAGACCGTATTAGATGTAGCTCTAATTTTGTGCAACAATATAGCTCCTTACATATAGGATACAGTAGCTGCCCCTCTGCTTTGTTAGTTGGTCCCCCATAATGTCAGCATCACCTCTAGGTCATGTGCCATAAAAAACAAATGGGCAAATGCAGCAGTTCATGTCCATGGCTCAGGAAATGTTGTCCTGGGTCTTGTGGGCCTAGATGAGAATCATATGCTTTTTGCAGAGCACATACAGGTTTTGACCACAGTTGCCTTCCTTTGACAGGCTTTGCTGGTACTCCAGGGTACCTTTCTCCAGAAGTGTTACGAAAAGATCCCTATGGAAAACCTGTGGACATGTGGGCATGTGGTAAGAAGTTATTCTGAGTCATATTCAGTCCACTCTAAAGTGTCTTAAGGGGAGAAATGATATCCAGGGTGCATTATATTGTGCATCAGAAAAGATGCACAACATAATAAAATTCAGTATTATAATAAAATGCAGTAATTATTATAATAAAATTCAGTATTAATTTCTAGTAGAGGTCATTGGATTTTTTTTGTTGCCTTATGTGCTTCTTTTTTTAAAATTTTTTTACAAAGTTCTGTTATCATGGCATTCTTGGCCATGTCTACACAATGCACTTTCAAAGAGTATTCAAAGAATGGCTGCAGGTGTATGGTGCCTCATTAGTTAGTAAACACACCAGTTCATACTGTGAGCTGGACGTTTAGTTTTGATTCACAAGGAGCCTAAAATTCATCTGACCAATATATTCTGTCTGCAGGTATAAACCACAAAATTAAATGTTTTCTGAACTGGAGGATGGAGTAGTTTCTTTATCACCCAGTTCTCAAAACTGTGTTCTGAGGCACTGGCAAGTGGCAGCTCCCCAGCTGAGAACAGGGGCTGGTTTCCTTATTTCACTTCTACCCACACTTAGTATGTTGTTATATTTATGAAAGCACTTGATTCACAGGGAATCATCTCTGTCAGACTAGAAGGTGGTCTTTTCAATTTCCTATTGACCAAATACAGAAAAACTTGCGTTTCCCAAATTTGCTTTGCATGAGAATAATTATAACAAAATCTTTCAGACACCAGTATAAGCCATAAAAAACCATAAGTGAAAAATGCATTTTCCTAGAACATCGAGAATCATGGAATATTATTTCTCCATCTAGATAAATATTTCCAGTGTTCCTGATCTGATGTTGTCAAATGCCCACTTCCACTGTTTTCCCCTGTCTGAAGGGGCAGTATTCCTCCCATCCCAGTGGCTGGGATGATACACATGAGCCTTTCATTTTACGTGGTTGTTAGGTGCAAAATTCATTTCTGCAGTTCCTTCCTTGCAAGCCCTTAACACTGGTGTGAATTTTCTGCAGGAGTCATTCTGTACATCCTCCTGGTGGGATACCCTCCCTTCTGGGATGAAGACCAGCACAGGCTTTACCAGCAGATCAAGGCTGGTGCTTATGATGTATGTACCATACTCTGTCTTTTCAGTTATTTATAATTGTGCTTCTAAACAGGAGTTTCCTAAAGGGAGAATTTAAGAACTGGTGAGATGGTGGCATATGAATTCTGCAACATCATCTGATCATATTATGTTAAACAGGCAAGAGGCTGTTGGTCCTCAGATGTAGGTAGTTTGTAAATGATGAGGTAAAGGCAGAGCCTTACAATTTTTAACCTCTTATTTGAATCCAGTAGTGGATCCTTTGGTGAAATTATGTAAAGATTGTACAAGACTATGTACATATGTGTATTTTTTTCTGAAGTTCCCCTCACCAGAATGGGACACGGTGACTCCTGAAGCAAAAGACCTTATCAATAAAATGCTCACCATCAACCCAGCAAAACGTATCACAGCATCAGAAGCACTAAAGCATCCATGGATCTGTGTAAGTAATATCCACAGGTTCAACATGATCACTTGACAAATCAGTTTATGGTTTGCTTCAGCATGTAGTGAATGTGATTAGAGGATAACTTCTGTTCTTGTTCATTCAGCTGTGTAACTATAAATTGTAAAATTATAATTACACAGATATGATCAATAGTGGTCTATATAGAGATCTCAGCTTGGGGTAAGATTTTTGCAAATTCATCTCCTTTGCCTTGACTGTGTTATGTAGACTGTTCTCTGTGAAAATTAGAGTGTTATTTTAAATCCTCAGTGAGAAGAAAGTGCAGGAAAGTAACTTTTGAATTAGATAATGCTTTGCATCTTCATTTCCCTGAAATCTTTCAGATAAGCATGAAACGTGCAGGCAGGGAACTAAGGGACTTCTGAAAAGTCAATTTGTAGGTAGCAGAGGCTGCCTGGCTGTTCCTGGATTCAGGACTTTTCTCCTGCTCTCAGTATATGCCACACAATGACTTTTCAAGTTGACTTTACACATGGAAAGGAGCACAATGGGGTAGTCAGGCAAAGTAGAAATTGAAGGCCCTAGTTTGGGGCTATGGGTTGTAACATGTGTGTTGTAGAGTAAACAAATTGCTAAAACAGCTGGCTGGGTGCCTTAAAATAATTGTTTTCTTCTTCTCTCAGCAACGTTCTACTGTTGCCTCTATGATGCACAGACAAGAGACTGTAGATTGCTTGAAGAAATTCAATGCAAGAAGAAAACTAAAGGTAAGAAAGAAAACTTGTGCTTGTGTTTGGTGTGCAAAACAAATGATCTCTGTGCAGAGTTTTTTATAAATATTGTTCTTAAATGACCTATTGTTCTTAAATTACCCTAAAAGAAGATCAGCTTTTGCTTGAAGATCTTAAAACTTTTAATCAAAGTAAATGGAACCTGGCTTTTCTTCTTTAATTCAAAACTATAGTAATCCTCTGTATTTAGACACACTAAGAGTAGGCTCTTGAGGGACAATCCTTAAGGTTATTTTTCTGAATTATGCTTTGTTTTTTCCTGGCTAGACATGATAGCTTTGCAGATGTGAACTTGTCTAATGTGTACATTACAAATAAGCTCATATTCCTCCCTGAGAAAAATAATCTAAGGACAATAGTCAAGTCTCTTTCATATTCATCTATGAATTTTGAATAATTGCTGTGCCTCTGAATACTCCTGGTTTGTGCATTAAATACTGACAGTTGGAAAATATTTGAGATAGCAGGATTGCTGATAGGTGTGTAATTAAGATTAAATTACAATTTATGCAGTCATGACATGGCATATGAGAGGTAGTGCAAAGATAATCCATTCTCTCAGAGTTAATTAAGTAATTGGTGCCATTTGCTCATGTATTTTCCGTTTTGTTGTGTTGTGTTGGCATTTGGAGTTTTACACAACTATGATGCTAATTTGGGAAAATGTGTGTGTACACAGGGGGCCATTTTGACAACAATGCTGGCTACCAGAAATTTCTCAGGTATGTTCATTGAACGCCAGATTAATGCAGTCTTTATATTTTAATGTCTGTGAAGGCTCAGGTCTAATTAAGACGCATTCAGGAGCATCTAAGTATGATATATATCATGTTGTTTACTGTGATGAAGCAAACAAGAATTTAATCTCTTTGGGCCAGAGAAATTCTCTTGCAAGTGACAGTCCGATTTTTCTGTAGAATTTGAGCTCCTTCTCTGCTTTTTGATTGTTACCTGTCAAAGACAGGCAGCTCTTTCATGCCTACTTTAGTGCAGGCAAATTGAAAGTTATGCATATATCTCCATATGCACAAGTATCACCAAACAACATTTAGAACTTAAATATTTTTATATATGTGAAAAGTCATTCCATTATTCTGTTGCATCCTGTATTAAAAATATCATCAGTACATTCATTTCTTTATTGCTTTGCTAAGGAGTAAGGAATGTAGTAACATGAGTCCCTGTTTTCTTCCTAATGCCCAGCAGTGCCTAACTGGATGTAAGAACAGTTGTTTTCTCTTCATGAAACAGTTTTGTCCTGATGACTCTGGAGATTTAGGTCTTACACTAAACAAGCTCTAATAGCAAAAGCTAAAATTGCTCTTGGCAGAGTTAGAATTGTCCAAAGTAGTAGAATTGCCAGAATATTGATGCTGTGTTGAATTTTTCATTTTGCTATTTGAGATTTCCAGTGAATGGTAAAATAGAACACCAGATTTAAAAACCAGTAATTTTACATATCCTCCCACTCTGTGATGTAACTATTGGAGTGTAACATAAATTACTGTACAGACAAAAACATGATAGTGCTCTGGGCATGTTTTGAATAATAATAAGCACTGACTCATCCAAAAAAATTACATAATCACGAATGCAAGAACAACTTGTTCAATTTGCATAGTACTTAAAATACAATTTCTTTCTTAGTTAAGTTCCCTTCTTTAATAAACACCTAAACACAGAGGACCACATTTATCTAAATTACCTTGAGTTAATGCTTAATGAATTCTGTTTTCTGCCAATTCATTTAAAAGGTGGGAAGGCTGTAGGTTGCTCTTCTTGTAAAAATGAATTACTGTTAAATATCAAACAAACAAATCATTCCTTATCCCTTTTCATAACTGTCACTGTCTATTTGTGTAAGAATCAAATTCAGCTTCCACGAACCAAAAAAGCTGAAGTAGTTTTTAGACAGTATTTCACCATGAAAAGCAAACAGGGTTTTTGGCTTTTTTTTTTGTTTTTTCACATGACATCTTTTGTTTTACACCATAGCCACCCGGCTTTTTTCTTGATGACGTTTTATTTTTTCAGTTTCTTTATTCATTGTATTTCATTGCAAAGCATGCTTATGAAGGTCATTTGTCCATAATGATGTGGTTATAAAAGTGTTTTACTTTCCTTTTTTTTCTTCCTTTTATGTGGAATGTGTATTTCTTGTGAGGTAAGACCCTCAGCACGTGAAAGGAACATCTTTTTTCTCTTCTCAATCCAGACTGCTGTTTGTCCTCAATCACTTTAATTTCTCCATCCTGTCACAAACCATTTGTTTCCAGTCTGCTTTCTGGCCTAGTAGCGCTGCCTTAGGTTTTATTTTTAGCTCTTGCTTGTAGTTGCAAGAAATCTCTCATTGTGGGCTTAATTTAGGATATGCTGATTGCTTTGCTCCTGCAAATTCTTTAAATATTTGATTTGTATGCAGTGTCTGTGATTAAAGAAAGATGAATCCAAATACTGTTAAAAATCCATTGCAGACCAAACCCAGCAGAGTGGCAGGATACATCCTGCAACATGCCATAGTGCACAGTAATCCACGCTGGGCACGTTGGGAAGGACGCGCCGGCAGTGCCGGACACGCAATAAATACTCGGTGTTATTGCTTGTGGTGCCCTCATTTTACTGCCTCTCATTTAATTGTTTACATAGAACATGTAGTCTTTGTCAAGCAGCAAAAGAACTCAGAAGTTTCATGTACAAATTTAGCAAAAGGACCTACAGAGGTCTATAAGAATTAATTTATGTTTTCCCATATTTTTATTAGGGCTAAGGGTATAAAGCAGGCTTTGAAGGCTATTAACTTCTGGGTTTTTTTGTCCTTAGGTTTCAGAAATATCTCCTTCCCTTTGCTTTCCCTAAATAAATTCCTGAAGGTAATGGAGTGCCCACAATATTTGTGGTAATGTAAAATCTAAGGCCCTCTTGCCTCAGGTCCTGAAAGCATACGTTGCCACAGGGAGTGTCCAATCTCCAAAGTATGTGGAGAACAATTTGGTTTCAATATTTATGTACATGTTTCTTTAAATAAAAGCATCCAGTGGTACTGCTGCACAATACAGGCAAACTTATTTTGGTTCACTTTAACTGTAAGATGTGGCCATGTGGGAGGTCTAATGGTAGTGTTGGCTGACGTCCATAGTTATTAAACTGCATTTTGAGGGCTGATATATTAGTGAAGTTAGAAACATCAACCTGACTTCACTTTCCCGGGTTTATTTCATGTAAACAACACAATCATGGACATTAGTCATTTCTGTACAGTTGCTGAAGTGAGCCTACATTTTTGGTGCTGTAAAATGAGCACTTTATGCAGAGGTAGCTCAAAAATAAACCACAATTACAAGAATTATCTTTAAAGGTAAAACACATACTCAGTAACTCCCGTATCCTCAGCCAGTCTGAACAGCCTTGGGTGTGCGAGGTTCAATTGATTTGACATTTTGAGGTTATTTTTAAGATAAGGATGCCACTAATGATGGGAGCTCCATGTTGGGACTGCCTCCCCTGTATATAGAACAGCAATTTCTTACAACCTGAGCTGTGGAACATTTTCTGATGGGAAGATTGGGTCATAACCAACAATAAAACCCCAATAACGGCAGGCTTGTTGTGTAATTTATTATTCTTCAAGTCTTTGGCAGTGATTCATGGAGCATTTACGCTTTAGTGAATAGTTTATATGGATTTGGTAGGTCAGCCAGCATATACTTCTGCTGTGAATGTTTTCAGGTTCAGAGCTGTGCTGTGCTTGTTTGCACGTTAGCCTTCCAAATTTAGTAAATTGGAATTATTTGATGCCAGTTTTAAGTGGTGGAATTTAAGATCTGGCAATAATAATAATGTTATGAAAAACGAAATTTCACAAAAATTTTATCAGTGTGCAACACAATTCAGAAAATAGCATGTTTTCTTTGTTAGGAGCTGAAGCAAAGCCTAGAATTTGTTACTATTGCCTCACAGGCAGCAACCCTCCAAAACAACCCTTCGCTAGCAAATTGTCCTTCCTTTCTTCCTTGCAACTGTGCTGCCCTTTCACTCAAGGAGGCTGATGCTGTCGTGGTGGGAAGTCCCCAGAGGGGCATTATGTACATTGAGATATCATCTGAGATACCAGTGGGCTCTGCAGACACCTGCTTCAAGTCCCTGCCATCAAAACAATACCTTTTCACAGTCATACCAAACTATCCCTATCATCCAGTAGAAATATATTGCAGTTGAGGAAATGGATATAGCCAAAGCTGCTGCTTTTACACTCACCCTGCTTCCTTTTCCTCTCTGCCACCCAAGGAGCTCCCTCCTTGTAGAACTGCAGTCAACCTACAGTTTTGGGCAATAGAAAAAGAGATGTTTGAAAGTCCTAAAGACTGATGGTTTCCTAAGGATTTCATGCCCCATGCTCAGAGAAACAAAAGGAGGAAATAAAAACTGAACATACCTGGAGCTGGGAGGCACTGGGGGTTTGCTGCACAGCTGGGTGACTGCAGGGGAACCACCTGACACTGAAATTATTTGTCTCATTTTACAGCAGCCAAGAGTTTACTGAAAAAGCCGGATGGAGTTAAGGTAGGTGAAACACCTGCTTTCCATTTCAAAGATATATTCTTAGTCTCCACCTGTCTAACTTCTGCCAGGTTTTAGAATTGATTATTGCTATTTCTTTCCTTCATAGATTCTGTTAGTAAGTGCTTCTCACTAGCTATTTGGAGTGGTTAAAGTTAATAGAAGAGGCTTTGAAATGAATTAAAACAAATACTTGAAAAGCCAGCATTTAGTAAGCAGAAGATAGAAAACTACTGGAGAAAATGCTTTTTCTTGCTTTTTAAATAAAGAATGATAATGTAATTAATGATTCAATGTTATCAGTTAACTTGTAACTAATGGTTTGGTGGTGGGCTTTTTAGGCATTAGTGTTTATGTGCAGCTCTGTTGCCTCTTTGTTTCCCCTTGACTTTCCACTAGATTTCATGGAAGACTAAAAGTGTACGGGTAGGCTTGGCTCCACATGAGGTGTGTTCTGCCAGATGTACTTGCTATATTTGGCAGAACTTGAGGGGTTTACTGTCTCAGATAAGCTCATCCTGACTAAGAGACCTTGTTAAGAAGGGAACATTTTGGCAGCTTTCGTACATGGTTTAGAGCTCCTGGTCTCACGTCACCAGACCCTGAAGGAGGAGAGATGCTTCACAAATGAATATTCTGAAAAAATACTTTGGGAAAAAAAAAAAGAAAAATAAAACCCAAAACCACTCAGCAGAAAATGTATTTTGGTATTTTTTCTGAGAGGACTCAAAGACTAGTATAATGCTTCAAGCTTTCATTATAAGACTCAAAAGATATTCTTCTGTGCTCTGTGTGTTTATTCAGAAGGGTGTCTTTGACCTGAATTTTAATCTTCTATTTAAACTTACTGTCTTACTTTAACAAAACATTATAAATACTTGCTTAAATACCAGATTCACAGTATATTTGTGCCCGCTGTCTGACATATGCACACTTTGCCAATCAAAAAATCCCGAGCCTGACTTGCAGAGAAATGAGTACAGTACCATTGCATTGCTTCTCACTGCCAAGCAGTGGAGATCCCAGTCACATGGAGAAGCACACATTTGGAACAGTTCTATCACTGCTGGAAAACTCTGACCATGTTTCATTGTGGAATAAAGAAAATTTATGCACTGTCTCTGACCAGTTTTCCTTTTTAAATATCATTCCTCCTACAGGTCTACAATGCTATTTGTTCTATCTCAGTTATAATATGGGAAACAATTGTTGCCAAAATTTTGCCGAATTTTCACCTGTTGGGATTCAGTTCTTTGGTTTTCAGCATGTGTTATGTGTCGCTGTTAGCCTGCATGGTCATGTGGAGCAAAGGGAGTAAATGTACATCTGGGGAAGTCTTTTGTCGTTGCTGTTATTGAGATGCTGTTATTGAGATGCTCTGTAGCATTTTTCCACCCCTTCCAACAGCTGTAGCTGTCTTTTTCTTATTTAAAGAAAAAAAAAAGCCAAAAGAGAAATATACTGTACTCCATGCATTGATACTGCAAATCCAACCAGTCACGTTTTCTTCTTTTCCTTTCTCTCTGACTGGTCAATTCAGAAAAGGAAGTCCAGTTCGAGTGTTCAGATGATGGTGAGGATCTTTATCGACAGATTTTTTTTCCTCCTGTGAAACGTTCACACTTAGAAATCAAACAGTTGCATTTAGCTTTGTTAACTTACTGTGAGAACTGCAAGACTTTAAAGCACAACCTTGTGAATTTTAAGCCTGCAGTTGCTATATACCATCCACAGTGAATCATTCAGCCTTTCTTTCAAGCAAGTCTTTACTTTTTTTTAACCTGGGGACATAAAAAGCAAAAAAAGTAGATGTAACATCAGCCAATGCAGCTGTAAATAAGAATAGTAACAAAACAGTAATCTTGTAACAGCCTTCTTTGTTTTTAAAATCTCCTTATTTTAAAAGCTAATATTATTAATATCATAAAATGTAACAAAATACAAGTTGCAAAGTGATACAGTACTGCATTAATTGAGTCACTGTAGCCCAAGATGCCATGCTAAATGCCCAGGAGTAAAAAAGCCAATTTCCCAGCCTTCCCACACTAGTTTCCCAGCTAGCTTGCTCTGCAGCTGAGGGCTGTGTCCCGAGATGTCCCAGATGACAGTCTTAATAACTTGCCCTCCTCCTCAACCTGCTCTCCAGTCTGGTGTTCATTTGGCCTCCGTGACCCCACACAGTAACTTCCTCTATTGCTGTTCATGGTGGTTTTGAATGTGACCTTTGAGGCGTTTGTGAGGATGGGCTCTGCCTGCTGCTTCTGCCAGCAGAGAGAAGGCAAAGGGCCCTTATGCACACCTTTCACTGGGAAGCCAGCTCTCTTTGGAAAGCAAAAACTGCTGGTCAGGTGCGAGCAGCCATGGAGTTAAATAGGTAAATCCTCTGTTCTTTGGGTGAATGCAGAATTCCAGTGACAGGAGCCACGGCATCCAAAGGAGGGGCACTGGGCAGGTGCACTGTAGTTATTGCCAGGATCCCAAACCTGAAGTGTGTGTTAACTTTTTGTTACAGAAGTAACATGTGAAAGGTAAAGCCCCAAGATACGGACTTTATTTGTTAAAATACGTTCATATTCTATGGAAAAAAGGCCAATAATGATGCTAGAGCTGTGCCCAGCTGTTTGGAGTGCTTGTGTGTCTGTCGGCACTACTGTCACACTTCAGAGAGTGACTTTCGGCAAGTGATGCAGCAGTAAAACCTTCTCCTTCACAGCAAACAGAAGGTCACTGGTTAATCACAAATCAGCTTTAAGTAACTGTTTCACATGACAATATTGTAATCCTTTTGGAGTGGTTTCCCTTTGCTGTTAAAAATACATGCAAGATTCACCATGTGTTCCATAGATTAATGGCTCTGTTCTAGGAGAGAGAAAACATGTACAGCTTATTGCTGTTTTCTCACAAAGTTTCAAAGGGTTTTACCAAGTTCTGTTTACATGGAAAAAATAACATATTTGTTATGAATGTTAGAATGAATCACGTTCTCTCTCTTCCTGGTGTATGCTGGATTCTCAATATGTCACTGAAGAAGTTTTGAATAGATTTCCTGCAGTTTCCAGCAGTAGCTGTAATGAATATTGTTTATTTTCCTAGGGCTTTCATCAAGGGAGTGCAGACCAAAGCCTGCTCTCCTTACTCAGGCAAAATTGGAATTGAGCTTTGAGTAACCTGTTTTCCTTATGTAATCAACCAAGAGCACTCATTTGGGATACCACTTGAGCTGCTACGGAATAGGACTGTATGAAATCTGGTGAAATCTTCATTTCTTTCCTTAGCTAGGGTCTGTTTAATCTAGTCTCTCAATGACTACACTGGCACAAAAGTATGAATCTGTAGTTATGCAACTCGATATACAATTTTTGTCTTGCTTGGAAGGTTTAGTCTGCTTTCAAGCAGCCACGTTTGTGTTCCCACTCTTCTACAGATCTCCAGTAGAACTTTCATTTACTGAAATGGATGGGATTTTCTTTAAAGTTTTTTCCTGAGTAAGGCGTTCAGGGTTCTGTCCGTCTCAGAATCCCATAAATATCAAAGTAGGTAAAATACTTTCCAATACTTAGATCTCCCCCTGAAAGACTTTACGCACAAAGGTGTTTGTTCTCTCCCTGTCCTGACTTCAGACAATCCTACAGCTTACACCTGTAATTGTGTCTTGAGAAATGAAATTTATTTGACAATAAGTAAGCCTAGTCAGAGTGTAATCACTTGCAACTCAATAATGACTCATATGTTCTCTTAATAATTTCTGTAGAAAGACCATTGTTTAAAAAAATAAATGCTCTTCATCCTTCTGCTGTAGAGCATTGGCAACTTTGCTTTTAAATCAAAGAAAATTATTTTTATTCTAATGGTAAAATTATATCTATCACCAGTATTATTAAATAATATTAAGTGTCGGCATAATGTTCCCTGATTAATTAACAAAACTACTATATTCTTCAAAGCCAGTTAAATGCTGATTAAAAATTATAAAAATTGCAGTCTGTAATTCATTACTGCAAATCCTGTGGATGTTCCCATAATTTAAACATATCCTAAGTAAGATTCACTTCAGCTGCAGGCTCAGTTCCTGAAATCTACAAGTCAGCTGCCACACCTGGCCCAAAGTAAAATAATCATCATAAAGTGCTGAGGACATGGAGTCTGTGAATTTAATTCTTTCTATTCCATAAAGTTAATTACATTTTTACAAAAATCCATTAACAAAACAATTCCAGGCATTTCTGGTTTTGCTTTGGACAGTTATTACTAAGTGCTATGACTAGAAGGTTCAGTAGAACTTGGTTTTTTGGATCAAAGTCTTTTCAGATTATCTGCATCTATATACCTAAGTCTGCATGATGCTTTGTACCACCCTTACTAAAATTAGACATGACCAAAATGTCCATAATATTTTTTCCTCATAATTGTTAGAGAAGAAAAAATACATCTTTCCAACCAGTTTTACAATATTTGAATCTTGCTTCTTAGTGCATGTAAAAAGGGGCTCGCTACATTATTTTTAGAATTTCTGTTCTTCCCATACCCCATGGTATTAATGAAAGGTAAATCCTAAAAAATTTAAAGGCTCAGATACCTTGAAACTTCTGCTGAGCAGTTTGAATTAATATTTTGTTCAGATAAAAGCCAGGAAGTATAGCACTGTGCTAAGCTTAAGGAGTATCATGAGGACCTATATGTAAAGTTAAACAGAGAGGTGCTGATGTCTGGAGTAAGACTACAGCTACCATAGTGGGAAACCTCGCGCTTCTGAGTCACAATACCAGCACTGAGAAGCTGCCAGTGATTTTCTGCTAAAAATAGCACCAAAACAGCTCAAGGGGCACAAGTCTCTTTCTAGTGACCATCAAAATTATTTTGAAGTGGAATTAGAAGCCAGTAGAACAAATTACAGATTTTTGAAGCACTACAAATACTCAAATGTTATTAATGGTAGGCATAATTCATTAGAAATAAAGAACTGTTGGGTGCAATGACCGAACACCATTGCATATCACAAAATGGCAGTGGCTATTTAGGACTTTGTTGGAACCCGTATTAATTCTTTATTCTTCTTAGATGTACTTAGCTGCTACTGAAGGTATCTCTATTAAGTGTCTCAATTCATCTGTCCCTTAGCTAGACCATGGTGCAGGGCTCTGGCAGTGCGTGGGGAGGCACTGCCAGCCAGCTCCCAGAGTTAGTGTCAGTGTTTCTGCGCGTTCCTAAGTTCATCTTTCTGTATTCTTTATTTCCATATCTATATCTATCTATAGATACCGATACCTGTCTATAGATGTTGTGTGCAGAGATATAGATACGGTACCTACCACGAATTCTAAGGCCTGTCTGTTTCTGTTTTCTGCATACCTACAGATAAACAACAAAACCAACGTGGTAACCAGCCCCAAGGAAAATATTCCTACCCCGGCGCTGGTATACCTGGAATTTTCCTTCTCATGCTATCTGGAAGTTTTTGACTGTCTTCTGTTTGTTCTTTTTTTTTTTTTT